TTCTTGGGGTGGTAGGTATTGGTAGGACTTCTTATAATAAAGTGCCTGACTCTGAGCACCTTGGTAAAAGACATTTATTCCACTCATGGATCTGCAGGCTGGGGGTGATGGCCATCTTGGTTGGCACGTAAGGGGGAGCAGAAGGGACACAGGTTGGTGTCCCTTCTCATGTCCTTCCTTCTTCTTACAAAGCCACCAGGATTCATTCCCGGGGACTCCACTGTGATGACGTCATCTCATCCTGATGGCCTCCCTAAAGCCCCGCCCCTGAACACTGTCATTGGATTAAATTTCCACCCTCTTACCACCTCGTAATGGGGACTCAGTTTCAAAACAAAATGATGAGGGGGCACTTTTGAGCAACTCCAAACCACAGTGATTTCCAGTGAGCTCCTCTTTATTTTATTTATTTATTTTTACTTATCCATATATTCTTCTGCATTAGTATATGGAAGACTGCCTTAAAACCTTTGAATGAGAGCAGAACCCCATCACTTATTGTGCCAGGCTGCAGTGGTAAGCATTTAGATCACCTCTGATGCGTTTTGCCATTATAAACCAGGCTTCCACGACCATTGAAGTCTTTTCTAGACTAGGGCTATTACTCAGTGGTAGAGCATTTGCACAGTGTACTTAATAAGTCCTCCGTTCAACCCTCAGCACTGAAAAAAAAGTTATTTCTCATTTTGCGAGTTTCTTAAGAAGGGAATGTCTATGTCAAAGAATATGTATATTTTTAAATCAATATATAATCTTCCTTTAGTATTGTCTTAGTTATTTTCTCATTGCTGGGACAAAATACCCAACTCCCATAGGTTAAAAGAGGAAAGATTGGGCCAGCCAGATAGCTCAGCGGACTAAAGCGCCTGCTTAGATACGTGCAGGGACTGGGGTTCGATTCTGGGCATGCTAGGCTGGCCCCACCTCTGGGTTGCCCAAAGACAGCGATTGAGACTGGGTGTGGTGGCGCATGCCTGTAATTCTAGCGCTTGGGAGGCTGAAAACAGGAGGATCACTTCGAGTCTGATCTGAGTAGTGAGACCCCATAGACCCTGTACTAAATGCATTTAAAAAAAAAAAAAAAAAAGAAAAGAAAAGGTTTATGTTAGCTCACAACTATAGAGCGTTTAGTCCACTTTCATTGGCTCCAGGGCAGAGCAGCATGGCAGAGGGGCATCACTGGAGAAGCAGCTCATGCCATGGAGGTGGAAGACAGCGAGCAGCAAGCCTTTCTTTCCCTTTTTATTCCCTTTGGGCTACCATCCTTTTGGTTGATGCCACTCACATCCAGCTGGCTCTTGTGCTTTCAGTAACTGCATTCAGCCACACCCTAAAGGATGCTAATCCCAATGGTAGACTAACCCATAATCCACGCCACCACCTATGAGTATTTGAGATTTTGGAGGGACATCAGATATAAACCACAGCATGTGATCCATGAGGGACTGGCTTCACTGTACCAAAATCCATACATGCTGATGTCCCTCATGTGAACGCTGGTGTATGTACATCTTCCTGTCCCCTTACATCATCCCTAAATTACATATAGTTCCCAGTATGCTGTTAATGCTGTGTAACTGGTTGTTTTACTGTATCGTGTAAATGATACTAACCAGAAGAAAAGTATTGGGCCGGGGATGTAGCTCAGTGGCACAGTGCCTGCCTGGTAAGCACTCGGTCCTGAGTTTGATTCTTAGTAAAAAACAAAAAACACTTGTTAAATATAGAAGAAAATTTTTTTCTTCCAAATGCATTTGATCTGGCCGTTGCTTGGATACAGAGATGCAGAGCCGGGGATGTGGATCCTGTCCTTATGCGAGACAGACTGTATATTGTTCCACTGTGCCCCTGGGTTTGTACCAGTGTACCCTCCCACCAGCTGTGCAGTGTGATCGGAACCTGCAATGCATGTTTAAGTAGAACTTGGAATTGCTTTCATTGTCGTAAAGATCCGTCATGATGCCCCCAGAAGCACCCCCTCACTTTGAACATGCTTCAGTTCTGCAAGTCCTCTTCATGAGTATTGGTTTGTTTGTTTTTGGTTTTTTTGGCAGAACCGAGGATTGAACTCAGGTCCTTGTGCTTGCAAGGGAAGCCCTTATTCCACTGAGCCATCTCCCCGGCATGAGTGTTGTTTGTTGACACCTTGATGTCTTGAATTGATTCAAAACATAGATGGCAATTTCTGTTAAAAATCAAAACAAAATGGTGTGTCCTTGACCACGTTAATTCGCGAGACCTGGCACCATGTGACTGCTGGTTCTTCTGCAGAGTCAAAGGGATCATGGAAGGTTGACACGTAGAATCCACCCGAGATTAACAGCAATGTGTCTCATAGAGTAATGCATCTAAGAAATTAAGCATTCACTGCATTTCTGATCATTCTGCATATATGCTGTGTGTGAATGTACCTGTTCGCTCGAGACCTGACCAGTGGCATGTCAGATCAGCTGTGCTTTTCCAATCTGGCAGATGACAATAATCCGAATTCTGGTATTCCAGAGGAAATTTAGTTCACCTCTGGAAGAAGGAATTCTGTAGAAGGAAGAGCCTGAGTCACAATTTTGGCTGCGTTGTTCCGTCCTCTGGCCCAGATGGTACTTCCGGGTGAATTAGTAACCGGCATGCAGTTGTGAAACTTAGTCACCATCTGCTAGGGAAGCATCCTGGTAAGGGCGCAACCCTGTCACATCTTTGGAGTGAAGAGCACGTGCAAGTGTGGAAAACCCAGCCAGTGTCACCCCAAGGGGTGCAGGCAGCAGCTTTGTTAAGAGAACTGTGGTCTCCGGGCAGGAACAGCCAGAGTGGAACTGACGCAGCTCAAGAGCGGACACAGGACAGCAATTCAAGATGTTTAACAGCAGAGCGGGAAGACCTTAAGCTTGAGAGACAGCCAGAATAAATGGAAACTTCATTATCTGCGGATTACGCTCCTGCCGCTTATGTCCCAAGCAGCTCAGATGTTGGCAATTTGGCCAGCAGGCTCATTAAGCTTTTAAGAAAAGTGAGCTCAGTTAATGAATTAATACAAGATGACATTTTCCACGCAGAGCAAAATCAAGACCAGGCCCTACTGAATTATGCAGCATCATAATTTCTGGAGCAAAAGTGATCGCCGCTTTTCGCCTGCCAAAGTGGGCGGGTCTGGAGAGAGCCTGCCTTCAGAGACAGAAGTGAGGGCCTTCGGACTCAGAAGCATTTTGCTTTGCAGTTATTTCAAAGGGCTCCCGTGTGTATTTTTAATTCCACCAATACATGGTTGCATAGAAGTCAGTACTTTAAAACCTCTGGACTAACTTATCTTCCATATGAAAATCCACCCCACGTGTGTCTCTCCCAGTTTCTGTTGCTGGCCAGAGAAGCTGGTAAGGACAACGCGAAGGGTGTTAGCACCCAGAATCAGCACTGGACAGTGGGAGGTAGTGAATTCTGGAGCGATGGACGGTGGTGGTGGTTGCCTGGCTCTGGGAATGAGCTTAATGCCGCCTAACCACACACTTGAAAATGGGGTTCATGATAAGTCTATCTCATCATCATTTTTTAAGTCTTTATTTATTTATTTATTTTTACAGTACCAGGGATTGAACTCAGGACCCTGCATTTACCAGGCAGGCGCTTATTCTACTGAACTATCTCCCTAGCCCTTTTTAAAAGAAATAATATTTATTTTTTGATATGGGGTCTCCTGTCTTAGCCTCCCCAGGTTTGGGATTACAGGCGTGCACCGCCATGCTGGGTCTTGATGCCCTGGCTCAGCGTTGGGGGGTGGAGGGGCATGCTGTACCAGAGCTAGAACCCAGGTCCTTGTGCTTGGCAGGCAGGCTCTTAGACCGCCAAGCTATCTCCCCAGCCCGCATCCTCATTATTTTTTAAATAACAACTTTTTAATAAAAAAGAAGTAGCACTGCTGAATGCAAACCCTTGTCAGACACAGCATGTAGGGTCCCCTGCCCGTACGCCTGGAGGATAGCACTGTCGTAATTTTAAAGATAAGGCACTGCGGCTTAGGAAAGTTAAATCGCTGGCTTCAGTCAAACATGTAGAAATGCCTGTTCCAGGATTCACCCCCAAAGGCTCTGACTTTTTTGAGCTATGTAGGAAGTAACAAGTAAGGAAGAATATTTTGAGACTGAATTCTGAAGCACATGCACACACACACACACACACACACACACACACACACACAAAATTCTTTTCCCCATTACTGGGGATTGAACCTAAGGTCTTTGTTCTAAGCTCTTTGTTAATTTGAGACAGTCTCACTAAGTTGCTAAACTGCCCAAAAAGGACTCAAATTTTCCTGCCTCAGCCTCCCTGAGTGCTGGGATTACAGACATGTACCATACCCAGCTCCAACCTTTAATTATCTAAGCTGAGAAGAGAGTAACAGCTAATTGTTTCCAGAGAAATCCAAATCGCCTCCCTCCTGAACTGCACAGGCACCCGCCTGCCTCTGCCTATCAGCTGGGATTATATGTCCTTCATTCTGCCTCGTGGAATTGTGCAGCACATTGAAAGGATGGCCACCAGGAACTCAGAGAAATCTTTGAAGCTTTAGTCTGTGTTTGGGTGTGAGTGGGAAAAAAATGCAGAGAGAATAATTGGAGGGGGAAGGCCTGCATTTGTTTCAGATTAGGATTATTAGGGCATCAGGAAATGAGTCTGTTGGGAAGGGAGAGACAACAGTGTGTTTTGCAAAATGCAGGTTTTGAAGGAGACATATCTGGGTTAACTCACCGCTGTGAGCCAGTTTGTTCATCTGAAAAAACAGGAATAATAATAGGGCTACTTTACCAGGGTTGTGGATAGAGTTCCCCTTTGAGTTGTGCATTTATTGTATGCCTGCTGTATGCCACACATCATTCTACACCCTGAGGATCCAGGGCTGGACAAAACAGACATGAAAATTGAGAGAAGGGGTGGCATAAAGCCCCTAGCTGCTGCTTCAGGTCCTCAGTGTGACCCCTGGTACCCACAGAAACCTCCTCCTCGTTTTGCAGGTGAGTGTGCCTGTGGACACAGTTGCTCCCTGGTGCTGTGTTCCGTCGTCCCTCTAGCTGGCCCACTGCGGAGGTGGCTGGGGGTGTGCTGCACAGGTGGGTCCCTCTTCCTGCGAGGAGGGGACATTGGGGTTTCCTGTGCCAGGAGCCTGTTGCCAAGCATCTAAAGTGTGCCCCATCAGCACACGGGGAGAGGAGGGTGCTGGCCACCCAGGAAGTACCCGCAGATTGCCCAGAGGGTCTTGCTGCACAGCTGCCGTGGGAGAGAGCATTAGGAGCGAGGTTCAAATCCCACACAACGCCCCACTCCCGATGCCTGTTGGAAGGGGACTCAGTTCCTGCAAGCATCACTTTCCTCATCTAACGAAGAACACTAACTGCTAGGCATGGTGGTCATGACTGTCATCCTTGCACTCCGAGAGGTTGGAGCAGGAGAATCACAAGTTCAGGCCCAGCCTAGACAGCTGAGTGAGTTACAGGACCTACGTGTCTCAAAATAAAAACGACTACTACTAGTAACAATAGTAATGGTAATACTACTACTACTACTAGTAAAGCCCTGGGGGAGTAGCTCAGTGGGAAGGTCCTGGGTTCCAGCCCCAACAGTGGCAGGGGGAGCACCTGCCTCCTAGAGTTGTTAGGAAGCAGGAAGGCGTGATAAGGCTCACGTCTGTGGCTGTGGAACATGCACTTAGAGGGACTCGTGTGTGTGACCGTGGTTTATTTCACACTCCACAAACCGGAGAGCACCTATCACTTTGTAGCACGGAGCAAGTGGCCTTTCCCCCAGGGCCCATGGCGAGTGCGTACCCCCGCATTGCACTGCCCCTCAATCTGAAGGGCTAGACCCGGGGCCTGGCACAGAATAGACACTGCAGACAGACAGCGCCCTAGACGCCCCCTGCCTGGGTCCCCCTGTGTGCTGTATTACCCATTTCAGTGTAAGATTGACTTCTGCTACAAGGACGGTTACATCTCTAAGGGCCATGTTTGTAAACAACTTCATTAGGATCTCGCCCACACGATGTGAAGTTCAACCTTCTTACACGTAGAACTCAATGATTTTTAGTAAACTTTCTGATTTGGCAGCCGCCACCACAGTTCATTTTTACAACACTCCCGTCACCCTAGTGAGATCCTTCAAGCTTGTTCACAATTCATCCTCCTATCTTCTCTCAACCCCAGGAAGCTGCTGGACTTTATTTTTTTATTCCTTTATTTTTTATTTCTTTATTTATTTGATACAGAGTCTCACTACAACTCCTAGTGATCCTCCTGTCTCAGCCTCCCCAGCACTGGGATTACAGGTGTGTGCCACTACACCCGGTTCCAGGGCCAGCACAGCATGTGGTACTAGGGATCGAACTCAGGTCCTTGCACTCGCCAGGCAGGTGCTTCGACTGCCGAGCTATCTCCCCAGTCCCAGCTGCTGTACTTTCTGTCTCTGGGTATTTCTTATTGTAGAGGCATGTGGTGGTCTTTTGGGTACTGCGTCATGTCTTTGCAGCTCACGCATGCAGCGTGCCTCGGTATGTGTGATGTTCTTGTCTGAGTAGTATCTCACTGTGTGCATAGGATGCTGTGTACCTGTTCACCAGCCCGTGGATCGTGTGTGGTTCCACGTTGGGCCCATGGGAAGAGTGTCACCGCGGTCTTCTGTATGCAGACCCTAGTGCTGACTTGGAGAGACAAACAGGAGCTGATTTTAAGCCTCTCTTCTTATCTCTCCTCTCCCGGCTTTCTCAGAACCAGGCAGCGGGCAGGTGTTCGTGACCTCAGAGAACCAGCTCGTGTACTATCCCAGCATCACCTACGCTATCATCGGCAGCTCGGTCATCTTCGTGCTGGTGGTGGCCCTGCTGGCGCTGGTCTTACATCACCAGCGGAAGCGGAACAATCTCATGACGCTGCCCGTGCACCGGCTGCAGCACCCTGTGCTCCTGTCCCGCCTGGTGGTCCTGGACCACCCCCACCACTGCAATGTCACCTACAACGTCAACAACGGCATCCAGTACGTGGCCAGCCAGGCTGAGCAGAACGCCTCGGAAGTAGGCTCCCCGCCCTCCTACTCGGAGGCCTTGCTGGACCAGAGGTGCGTGCTGGGCAGAAGACCCTGGGGGTAAAGCGGGCATCTAAAAGGGTGATGGCCTGGCCAAGTGCCCGGGTGCCATGATAGTACACAGAAGCAGTGGCTGACATTTACTGAGACCTTACGGGACCCTCCTTACTCAGTGCCATCTCATTTTGCCCTCTCTGGGGTAACTGGGGGAGGTTCTAGCATGGCCTTCATTTTCCAAAGAAGGAGACTGCGTCGTTTCCTACCATGTATTTTCCTGGCCTTTAAATTGCCTTTGCATTTGCAGGGAAAATCTCACTCCTAGCTTGATGCACCAGCTCACCTATGCCCCCTATTGGGTGCTGGGGCCACGCTGCCAGACTTAGCTTGGTTCTAATGCATTTTCTTCCCCTTCCTCTCTCTGCCACCCCTGGGCTCTGACCTGCCTTCTCCACTGCAGACCAGCATGGTACGACCTTCCTCCACCGCCCTATTCTTCAGACACCGAGTCTCTGAACCAAGCCGACCTGCCCCCTTACCGCTCACGGTCAGGGAGTGTGGACAGCGCCAGCTCAGGAGCAGCCAGCAGCCTCCTGAGTACGGAAGATACCAGCCACAGCCCAGGGCAGCCTGGCCTGCTGGAGGGCACTGTGGCTCCCAGGGACTCTGCACCCAACCCGGACACTGGAGAAGTATAAGGTCCAGCTATTCCAAAGTCCAGATGGGTCCATCTGCTCCAATTTGTTACTCTAACAACGGGTGCCCATGGACTCGCTTTTAAGTTCCTTTGTGGGGGGTGGGCTCAAGCTGAGCATGGGGCATCGGCTGCCTCTCTAGTCCTCTCCTTCCTGAGATGGTCTTCGGAGGGTGACCTGGTGTTTTTCTGGCTTACTGATTGACATGAAGTGTCGTATCACATCCTCTCTGCGGTCACTTTTCCTTGGGGGCCCACAATCACAACCTCACGCTTCCCTTCATTCTGTTATGGTTGGAATCCCTCCGAATAGGTGTCGTGCATCCGCAGGCAGCAGGATGCGACAGTATTTAAGTATAGTCCTCAAGAACGCAGCTTCTGCTCCGTGTCGCATGTCCAGAGGGACAGAAGACACTGGGCCAGAATCGCGGAAGCTGCGCCTTATTGCTGCATTTGGGGACACGGGTAGGTGTCTGCCAGGAGACCGTCATGGTGGCCACCATGGAGAGTGCCCAGGTATGACCCTCAAAACCTCCTTGTGTTACCTACATGTTGCTGTCACTTTAGCAAAGACAGTGGCCAAAGGAAACTTTTGATGTAAGTGATGCCCTTCCGTGATTGCCAGTGTCATTTTGATTTTGTGAAGGACTCAGAAACTGTCCTGGATAGGTGTTGGCTTTGAAATTTGCCCAAGATCCTCATGAGAAAGAATTTCCTGGCAATGTAGGCCTCACCTCAGCCTAGGCAGGGTGGCCCTGCTCTGAGCCTATCTGAACTCTCAGCTTTTAGGATCCAGGCTACCAGAGGCTGGGGCTGGCTTGCCCCACTGTCCCTGCCCTAGCTTCTGGATTATTACCCTCCCAGCTGACCTGCCATAGCCCAGGGATGAAGACCCTATGTGAATAGGCCAAAAAGCTGATCCAGCCTCCAGCCCCGGAAGCCGCGCCCACCCTGTCTTGCTTATGCCTTATTCCTGCAGCCTCAGCGCAAGGCTCCCAAGGGCCCTTCACACCTGGGAGTATGTTTGCCCTGTGCTTTTGGACTTGAGGACCCTGATTTCTAGGACACGTGAGAGCCGTGCACTTCCGTGAGAGCTCCCAGCTCCCTGCTCCGCATACACTCGTCTTCCCAGAATCCCAGGACCAGCACCCTGAGTTAGCATTAACATTTGCTCCCACCCTCGCCTAACGTCCTCTTGGCTAACATTGGCCGACATTTAGAGAAGAGGCAGAGTAGCGAGTTGTTCTCTTTGAGCAACATGGGCAACAAGATTGTTTGGAGTCAAGGTTTTCCATTTGGATTTTTTTTTTAATCTCTTATAAATGCATTTGAAATGGTGTGTTTGGTTTTTTCCCTTCTAGTTAAGGGACTATTTATATGTGTATAGGAAAGCTGTCTCTGTTTTGTTTGTTTTTCCTTTACTAAAGTCCAAAGAAAGATGCAAAAGGAGATCCAGCCCTTCCAGCCCATAACAAGCCCCTCCCCAATGCTAACCCGCTGCTCTGTTGCCCTTGGAGCTTATTATTTATCCATTCTTGAGGGGCGCAGGAAGAATTGCCTCCCTCCTTCACAGTCTCTGCGTTCTTGCTAGTTCGTCCCTTCTGTATGCTCAGCCAGCCGCAGGGCCCACCCCTGTGCAGGAAGAATGGGTAAAAACTTGGGCAGTGTTTGGCAAGAAAACCACAGAAGGACAAAGCTCCACCCAAGAGGAGCCACCTTGACGCAGCTGTCACACACACTCAGGGCGTCTCTCCGTCACCCAAGAAAGGTCCGGTGACATATTTGAGGCTAATGAAGACAAAGCCTATTGCAGTGGGAAGGAGGTGGGCTTCCGAGATCCTGCTCTGTAGACTTAGCCTTTTTCTGAAGCCCAAGCCAAAGTGAATAACAGGACTGGCCACATAGGCTTTTTGTGTGTTCATTTGCTTTTAAGTAAAGAATCTAGCTGCTTATATCTTTCAGTTTCAAAATAGCACTGAGTTATTTTCTGAGTAACCCAATAAAGAACTTGGATGGCAGACAGCGTGCCCGCTCACACCCGCCCTCCCCTGTGAGTCACTGTGGCTTTCTTTCCTCCCTTTGATGGCCGCCTGCTTCTTTCTGGTGCTCTGGAAATGGTTTAGAGAAAAGGATTCTAATTTTAATTAATTGGGCAGTGAGTTAATCTCACGGCTGTTCTGCTTCCAGGCATCTTAGGAAAAACAAACGGTTTTCGGAGATAAGGAGAGCCTATTAACTTAAAAAAAAACAACGAACAGGGACATTTTGTTATAGATATGATTTTAATGGATTTTTTTAAAAAACAAACATATAAATAGGACACCAAAACTACAGGGTTTTTGGGTCCCCCCTACTTAAAATGTCAAATAAGTGCCCAATACTATTTTTTAACTCATTCCAACTAGCATTTTTAAAATACATTGCCTAACCTACACCAACCAGAATGTAATCTCTGCTTTCTTTTCTCGTGAACGAGATCAGCATTCTACTTTAGCATTATAATTGCACTGTGATCCTAGCTTATTGCCTGGCGCAACCCTACAATTGACTTCTTAAAATACAACTAAATGGTTAATAATATGTGATGTTCAAAGTAACTCAAACTGGAAAGATTTGTGTGGTTGCTTTTTGTTTTCTGCTTAGGCTTGGTTTTGTTTTTGTGTGTGTGTGTTTTTGAAAGTTTTTGTACTTTCCAATAAACTTGCGGTTTCATTCTTTCTGTCGACTGGACGGCTCTTGACTCACTTTTCTGTCCTACAGCAATCTAAAGACAGCCACTTCCGTTGTAGATTCCGCTGTCAATTTAGGCGCTGGTTACTGGAGGAAAAGAAACGCTATGTGGGTGGTGACTCAGAGTGTGATGGATGTGTAGGGGCCACAGCTAAGATGGTTGGGACACAAGGGACGCTGTGGAGGGCTGGGGGTGTCCTGGGCCTGGAGAATCCATCCGAAGAGCGGGTGTGATGGTGCCTCCACCTCCTCAAGAGCAAAGGGCACGCGGCTGTCATAGCTACTGCAGAGTGGGCCACGTCTGCACCCGCACACTGCGCCTCTTGTAATTAATTCCAAGCCACACTGGCTCAGGTGAGCCATGGGAACATCTTTCTTTCTTTTTTTGTTTTGTTTTTCTGGGGTTTTTTGTTGGTGGTGCCAAGGATCGAACTCAAGACCTTGCACTTGCCAGGCAAGCACTTACTCCACTGAGCTATCTCCCTGGCCCCCACGGGAACATCTTGATAGACTGTTTCATTGTGTATTTTTAAGAGAATAAAAAATAGTAAAAAAAAAAAAAAATAGGAGTGACAGAATTTCACTGAACAAAATGGTAGGAATTCATCAATGGTTGTTTTATTGCATATTGTTGTCCTCAGAATAGTTGTTCAGATTGCCAGATTAATACATGCAAAATTGGTCAAAACAATAATTGGTCAAAAAAAACTGAAGCATTAACTCTTCTTTTCAGTAAACCAGTAGAAATCAACAGTACGATTATCCCAGCTATCCTGTGCATATACATGGGTATTTTTCCCTCCCTTCTGTCTTTCCTTTCTCCTTTCACTCATCCCAGTTGTTATTGCCCTTTGAACTGGTTCTTTCCCTTTCACCGTGTCCACTGGACCTTTCGGATTTTATTTACTCTTTCAAGTTCTTCCACTAGGGAGGTGACATGATGCACTGTTAACTATAGTTTAGAGCCATGTTTTGATGCCTGAGGAACAGTTGTAAGGGAAGTCAGAAAGCCCAGTGGGATCCCCACACCACCACTGGGGAGCAGGAAAAGTATCTCTAGCCTTGGGCAAAACTGAATCCACATAGAAATGCAAGTGTAAGACCTACTGAGCCAAAATTTGGAACACATATTATTCCCCAGGTCTCTCAGAAAATGGGAGAGGGGATCCCAAATATCTGCTATGCCGTGTCCTACCCCAAGTGATCTAGAATAGACCTTTCCAAGCAGTATTCCCCAAAAGTTTTTTAAAATAATTCCTTCTTCCCTCAGGGTACTTCAGGAGCATCATATCCTGTGGGTTTCTGGGTAAGGAAACAATTATGAAACTCTTAGCATGGAGCAGGGTTTGGCAGTGTTTCTATAAAGGGCCAGATAGTATCTTTGGCTTTGTGGCCATATGGTCTTTATTGCAACTATGAAACAACCGATAGACAATATATATAGATATAGATATAGATATAGATATAGATATAGATATAGATATAGATGTGGCTGTGCTCCAACTAAACAATTTGTAAAAATAGGTAGCTAGCTGGATGTACCCTGCGGGTTTATCAACCCTTGATCCAAAAGATCATCACCATATTAGGCTCATAAATCTAAAGCTAAGGGCTCTATAGAATAAAAACTGGTGTGAATGGTTTGGGGTATCAGAATGAATGAAATGGCACACCAAAATGGCACTAACCCAAAAAATAAAATACAATTCAGAAAGCATACAATTGAAGGCCCCTTGAAATGAGTTGAAATTGACCCTATTAGTCATTAACTAATGAATAAGGAAATGCTGGATTAAGATGAACAGAGGATTTCCTAATGCAGTCCTAAGCCATTGACTGAACACAGAGATCCCAGTAATAAGCTCAGCTTCCTGGGAGGCCGAAGTGTGAAGGTTACAAGTTCAACATCAACCTGGGCAACATAGTGAGGATCCTCTCTCAAGAAACCAAGTGGGATAGTGGTGGGGGGTAAAACGGCTGTCACTGGGAGATTTTCAAGGTCATAAACTCAGACCTCAGTCTCTTAGGGAAAGCCCATTAGTAACCTGAGAGTTTTATTCTTCTTCAGTTAGACTGCAACCACACCCAAGGCAGTAAATTCAGAGAGTAAACTTAATGAGAAAGATTCAGGTGGCCATACAAAGGTATAGTGAGTATGCGTAAGGAAAAGATGCGCAGCCAGGGAGCACCCCCAGGAGAACAATCAATGGGAAAATACACCGATTCTGGGTTTCAGTCTGGTCATTGTCTTGGCCTGGAGGAGACACATGCCTGGTTGAGCTGCTGTTGGGTTTGCATTCGCTTCATTTTCTGCACTGCTACATGCTGGCAGAATGGTCCACAAGCACATTTACTAGTCGTACAAGTATTTGGACAAGCACTACGAGTACCGGCATACACATTGCCCAGAGAACTGTCCAAACGAGTACCCAAAACTCATGTCTGAGGAGGAAGGGAGAAGACTTGGTTTCCCACAGAATCTAGGCTGGGTCAGTTACATGATTCAGGAGCCAGAACTGCATGTTCTTCTATTCAGATGACCTCTTCCAAAAGAACAACAAAAACAAACTATATCTTGGATCAACAGTTAAATCTTTTTCAAATTCAATGTAGATGTGTATATCAGGTCATATTCAGTGAATACTTGAAAATACACAAATCACTCTTCCATACCTGTGCATGAGCTGTATTCTTCACAGCAACAGAACTCAGTTAAATGCAACTACAGTAGGTTATTGTAAGGTGTTTAAGACATTTCTTCTAGGCAGTTTTTCTCTTAATAAAAGTGCCTGTTGGATGTTACCTGCTTTTGTTAAGTTTGTATGTTGTTATATATACTGATTCCCTTGACATCCTATAATTAAACTGTATAGCAATTAGAACTCTCAATTAAAAGTAATAGAGATCTAACCAGCATGTAATTTGTGTGACCTTTCAGAAGGTGAGTTGCATAATGCAAACAAGTATGGAACTCTTAGAATCTAACAGGGCTGGAGCCAAACATTCGGAACCTGTGTCTGCCTCACTGGTTTCTCAGTCCCATTTTTATGTACCCTTCCTGGGAAATACGGTGCCAGAAGATCCAGGTTCATAATCGCAGAGCAGACACTCTCTCTTAGAAAGTAGAAATTTCAAATTGACTCATGACTGGCCATCATTGGGCACATGACCTTCAGGCACATTGGACTCAGCCCCCTTACTTGGTAGCTCCACATGAATTACATGGACTAGGAATGGAACAGTTCCCAGTATGGTAAGGCTATAATAGTAGACAAAGTATCAACGTAAGTATTCCAGAGCCTTGCCAAGGAAAGGGGCCTGTCACCGGCTGAACAATTCTTCATATACATGTGAGCAAGCAGCATACATCCATAAGCTTCGGGTAGCACAAATGTGACATTAAATGTTTTGAAAGAAACTGGCAATGTCAGAGTAAACAGTTCGGGACCTTTCACAGCCTTTGTCTACACCTAAGTAAGGTCAGTTTCAAGTTGCCTGCCTACGGGGTTTGCGTCAGGTAAGCTTTTATCAGATGGACTTCTGAGATCAGTCACACAAGCAGAATAAAGCCATACAGTAGGGATTCTATTCTGAAGATACCTGAACTCATGGCCTCACTGTCCCAAGCCACTGCAGTGTGAAATGCGGTATCTAGCCCATAAGACCTCCCCCAACTTGCACAGTATGTTGGCGCTAATAGATCCAAGATGTGTTCCCAAGATCTAGACTCAAGAACGTTCATTGTGAACTACACTTTGCCTACTTTACTCTTGTTAATCCTACACCTGAGAGCTAGGATGCATCAGTAGCTAGAGAATCACCCCTTGGGAGTTCTGGAGCAGCCCATGGCCCAGTACCAGAGGAACTGAATGATTTGAGAGTGTGAAGCAACAATAACCATGAGTGTCAAGGGTGTGCCCTTAGGGGATGCGTATTTATTTCACTGTGCAACATCTGCCTTTGTTTGGCTCCTTGTACTTTTCACCCTGGTGGGTCATTCCAAGGAACCAGCAAGGAAGAAGACACATACTTGTAGGCGCCATCCAGAAGTAACCCAGACGCCCCTACTTATGCTGCATCCCCAGATCCTGGGCAGTTCCACAGTCACACCTACTTGTGAGTGAGGCCAGTTAGCTGTGTGTCCTAGAAGAACCAGAGAAGCTTGGCCCCCTTTACCGCACATATGTGTGCATTCATCTTCTTACACATGGATTGCACCCACTCGCTCTTCCAAGGAAGACGCCAGCCATCCATCTTGTCTAGTCAGACTCAAAGCCTAGGATCTGATGAAAATTTCTGTCAGGTGCAAATGTGGCTTCTATGGAAAGACATCTCCAACCCCACACAGCTCTCATCGTCTCTCCTCTAGACTGCCTCCCCTCGGTCTAGTCTCAGAATCTTTCAATGAAGTTCAACCCACTCAGGATAAAAGTCAAAATGGTGGTCTTCTGGAGCTATGGCGTCTTCCTCCTCCATGCACAATTTAACCTCGTCTTCTATCCTTCCTTCTCTCATTCTCTGCTCCAGCAGTCACACTTCCAGTCCAGAGTCTTAGCACCGGGTTCATCCTTCCCTGTCCTGGAACACCCTTCTCTGGATATCTAGAAAATTCTTCCTCATTAAAAGCCACCTCTGCTTAGAATCTTGATGTCTTTGGGGCTTAAGCTGTGGCCATAGGAAGCCTCCTGAAGAGAAGCGTCAGGGCCTTCTCCTGGCCAATGTCCCTCTCAACTCATGTCAAGCGATTCCTAGAATGAAGCAGTACGCAGAACTTGGGAAGGAACACTAGAAGGAGTGCTCACTAAATGCAATGTGGACATCTAGGACTGATGTTACTGCGATCTATGAGTCAGGTGAGTCAGATTTAGAAATACCTAGAAATCAGAACTAATACTTTAGGATGTACAGAAGAGGACTGAGGGATTACAGTGGACCCTGACAAATGTCCATCTGGGGAGGTGTTGAGAAATATACCTCCTACAAGGGAACT